ATATATATATATATATATATATATATATATATATATATATACATATATATATATATATATATATATATATATATATATATATATATATATATATATATATAATTGATCTAACATTTCTTTTTCTTATTTCTTTTTATATTTTTATTTAAAAATTTATTTATTTTTCTTTTTATATTTTTATTTAAAAATTTATTTATTAACAAGTTTATTTAGTATTAGCGATGGTAATAACTAGCGGCAAATAGAGACAGATAGAAGCACTAACGACAGCGCCCTGCTTATAGCAGAAACCACATTTAACATTGGCCACGTCATCGTAGGTTAACAAGGAAGACGACGACGACGACGAAAGCTTCGCTTTGCTTGCCGACTCACCCTGGCAGATGATTTTTCATCGATACATATTCCGATAAAAATCTAAAAATCGTATTAAACGAAAACTATTTCAAATGAAATAATAGAAATAACAACAACAACAATAATAATAAAAAAACCAATTTATAAATAAAATGAAAAATTACAACAAAACAACAAAGCATACATCAATTTGCGTCTTGAGGACAACACCTCCAATAACCTCGACCTTGAAACAGGAATCTTCGCTTGGATCAAGTGGCAAAGATGACGACGGAGTACCTTTTAACGGCACCTTTAACATTTTTTCAAACTAGTTACAACAAAAAATCGATGTTAATATTTTCGTATCATACATGTTACAACATTCTATTTCAAATTATTTTCCAAAAAAACAGTTGCTTAATGTTTAGCATCATATCTTACTAAGTAATTAGCTATTTAATTCACCCACCTACTAATCCAGACAACTACTAATGCATTCATTCATTTATTCATTCATTTTTTTTATTGATTTATTCATTGGTTTATTCGTTCAATCATTTTAAACTTTACTATATTACCTCTCCATCACTGATATAGATTGTGGATGTAACATTGAAACGAATAGGACATTAAACTATTTAACAGTCGTCAATTATTTTTTATCATTTAAAGATATAACGAATAAATGTCACGTTAATGAATGTGTTGGGATATATATATATATATATATATATATATATATATATATAGATGCATGTAAGGTATAGTTTATAAACATAATGGCATTAAATACATTAGTTAATTCTGTTGATAGAAATATTGTCTTTAATGATTTGTTATTTTATATAATCAACAAAATTGATATTTTCGATAATATTTTGTATGAAAAATGTTTTGAGTTTTACGTAGCAGCTTTTATTTCTGAATCCAAAGAACTTATTGCAACGGAATTGGGAAAGCATGTTGAAATTAAAGAAAAGAAAACAAGAAAACTTCAAAGTTCCAAAACTAGCCCAAAAGCTGAGATCGAAGATATTGTTAACTTATTGAAATTAGCAAAAAGAAAAAGGGGTTTTTGATAAATTGTCTTTGTACTCGGCCGGGAGCCTGAATTTTCCAGATTTTTCTGGTAAAAAAACTATCGATGGTCAAAGTGACATGAACAAAATAGTTAAATTGAAAATAAACTAATGAACATTGAAGAAAAAATCATTCGTCTAACAGATTTGTTTGAAAAGTTCATGGTTGTCGTTAAACCAAACGACCAGATTATGCACAATGATAAAAATTCAACAAGTACGAAAATTGATTCACTAGCAAATTCCATAGAAAATCTTTCCGCTAAATTTGAAAATATTAAAATTCCTATGGCGTCGCATGATACTTCCCATGTTGCTCAGCACCAAATGTCGTCACTACATCAGCGTCAGTTTCAACAACAACCGCAAGGTAACCAAAACGACTGATGAGTCGGAATCAACTTCGTTTAAAATTATAATAAACGCTGTGGATGAAGATAGCTTTTGCAATCCAGATATTTGGCCAGAAAATACTCTGGTATCTAGATGGATATTCGAAAATCAAAATATTCCCCAATATGGATGAACCATATGAGATCTCGGACATATCACTTGGTAATGATCTTGATGATGATGATGTTGATTTTGTTGATAACAATATTACTTTTAATGATAACTTACAACAATTTCATAATAATAAGGATAATAATATAACTTTATTTGATCACAATTCTGATCCTGATATGAATTTTTTTCATAATTTATCTTACAATTCAAATTATTACACGCCATTAGAGTTTAAGTTCAAAAAGCTAAGCCATAACCATAAATTTAAATTAATGCATGTTAATTCAAGAAGTCTGTTACATAAAGTTAATGATTTGAGTATTCTTTTGCATGAATCAGAATTTAATGCTGATGTTATTGCTATCACAGAAACATGGCTTAATGATTCATCCGCACATTATCTATCTATATAACTAGAGATGACCTAACTTTGATAACGGATGATATTGAAATAATGGCCATTGAAATTATCCGTAAATCTAAAAACATTATAGTGTTTGTGATGTACAGGCCACCTAATACAGATGCTTCAAATTCTATTGAACTCATTCATGATTTCATAAATAAAACTAAACGAACAAATAGAAAAATTATCTATATCACAGGCGACTTTAACATAGATTTTTTAAAAAATGATTGTCGCAATATTCAATTAGATTTTTCAAATATGTTGTCATATAACAATCTTGTACCATTGATCGCAAATCCTACGAGAATAACTGATCATTCGGCCACCCTATTAGACAATATATTTACAAACGATTTTAATTCGAATTTTTCTGGAATTTTTGTATCTGATATATCGGATCACTTGCCGATATTTTCATTTTCTAATTTTGAGAATGAAGTTGATAATGTTGGTGGGTTTGACTGTGTTAAAAGGAACTTTTCTTCCCGCAATCTTTGTGAGGTTAATAAATGCTTGTCTACAGTTGATTGGTCATCGGTAGTTGATTCTTTGGATGTTGATGAAGCGTTTGATAGTTTTATTAATATTTTACAGGAAGTCATTAAAAAAAATTGTCCCCTAAAAAAAACGAAATTAAAACTTAAAAAATCCTTGGTTTACTCGTGGGCTAAAAACTGCATCAAAAATAAAAAATAACCTTTATAAAAAATATTTAAAAAACCCCAATGAAATAAATAAGACAAGATATGTACAATATAAAAACTTATTCACAACACTGAGACGTAAGGCTGAAAAAAAATATATAGAGGATAAATTAATTAATAATAAAAATAATATAAAAAATACATGGAAAATTATTAACGAAGCCATTAATTCAAATAGCTCACAAAAATTAACTAGTTTTTTAACAATTAATAATACAATAATTGATAATACAAAACAAATGTCAGATGTGTTTAATGAACACTTTGTTTCATCTTCTTTTGTCCAGACTTTGGATTGTAATGATTTTGTTAGTGCTATGCGATATATGTCACCTATTAATTCAAATTATCTTGATTCTATTGAAATAAATGCTAGTGATGTTCGGAAAACAGTGATGGATCTTAATAATTCTTTTTCCATTGCAGATGATGGTTTTTCAAATTATTTAGTTAAGCAAATTATTGATAATATCCTTATTCCATTGACGTATTGTTTTAATTTTTCACTCGCAAATGGATGCTTTCCTGCAAAATTAAAAATAGCTAAAGTTATTCCAGTCCATAAGAATGGATCAAAAGATAATGTTAACAATTATCGCCCCATTTCTTTAATAAGTACTTTTCCAAAATTTTAGAAAAAATTATTCATTCAAACCTGATGAGGTTTTTAAAAGAAAATGATATCATCATTTCAAACCAATATGGTTTCCAAAAAAACATTTCAACGGATATGGCTGTGCTGGATTTAAGCCAGCATATTATTACTAATATTGACAATAAACTTTTAACTATTGGGGTCTTCTTAGACATAAGTAAGGCTTTTGATTCAATTTCGCATGAATTGCTTTTAAAAAGTTATATCATTATGGAATTAGAGGTCAGATGTATAATTGGTGTTGTAATTATCTTGAAAATAGATGTCAATACGTATCAGTGCACTCATCAAAATCGATGTTATTGAAAATATCAAGTGGCGTGCCACAAGGTTCGATCCTTGGCCCACTTTTTTTCAATTTGTTTATTAATGATGTGGTTAACTCGTCAACCATTTTGAAGTTTGTAATTTATGCTGATGATACCACCTTGTTGGCTTCTGGAAAAAATGTTCTTAATGTTGCAAATAGAATGAATGAAGAATTAATTAAAGTATCTACCTGGATGAAATGTAACGGATTAAAAATCAACATTTCTAAAATATGCTGTTTACTTTTTGGTCCAACAATAATGACTAATCCTTGTAATTTTCAAATCACATTAGATGGTATGATAATTTCAAGGACATTTTCAACTAAGTTCTTTGGTGTTTTTATCTCAAGCAACGTAAATTGGAAGGAACATATCATGTCAATTTCCAAAAAATAAGTAAAAACCTTGGAATAATTAATAAACTAAAATTCACATTTCCCAAATATATATTGTTAAATTTATATTACACACTTATATATCCATACTTGAATTATTGTATAATAATATGGGGCAGAAACATTAAATGAGTCATTTTCCGGTAATTGTTAAATTTGAAAATTTGGTATTCCTCGACATTTCTTGAAAAACAGTTTTTAGATATAAAGATTTAGTTAAGTGATTATAACAGGTCTTTGACCAGTCAACTATTTTCGGAATTGAAAGTAATTATTAAAAAAAGATTTGATTTAAAAAAAATTATTTGATATTAGAATATTCCACTCCGTTACTGTCCCTGAGCAGTAAGACTATTACTTTAATCCACAGGTCAATTATGCTTAGCATTATTGTAAACTTTTAACATTTTTCTGGTATATTATTCACCATAATATTTGTACAAAATGTTATTACCAAAATGTACCTCTTCAAAATAATTTAAATATTTTTTTTATCTGGTCCCCAGAATTTATGTCGACTCCGTTACTGTTATAAAAATTGGTGAATGTGAAACCATTTGCGCTTAGGTTTGTTATTGAACGCGCCACTTCTATTATGTCTATGGTGTTGTTTTTTCGACTAACACGATATGCAAGTTGTAAGGTAAATTTTAAACAAATTTTCTAAATTTAGTACCAAATGTGTCTTTTTATTATACATAGGGCTCCCATATGTCCTTTTTTTAAGAGGACAGTCCTTTTTTTTGCATTGGTGTCCTTTTTAAAATCTGTTATTCAATTCTTTAATTTTGTCCTTTTTTTAAAAATGTGTCCTTTTTTTGTCCTTTTTTTTCATTATTAAGTCTGAAAATATCAATACAACATCACATAATAAATTTTTATTTATTTATATTTAATCATAATACTTAAAATAATTAAAAAAAATAAAATAATTATTTATACATCATAAATCATAATGCTGCTCTTAATAATTGTTTCCAGGTATATAATGCTTATGTTCTGTCCAATCTATAGATTAAAATTCCATGGTTCGAAATAACTTCTATAACAATACTATTTATGATTTCATGTCCATCTAACTTCACTGTGCGTGGAGCGCGTTCTCTTCTTCGCGTGACGTTTATATTATACAGCCACTTTTTTTAATCTAAATTTTTTAATTTTATCAAATAAATTAATAAATAAAACTAATTTAAATTATAAAATTAACGATGGCAAAAAGAAAAAGCGTTTATCGTGAACAGTTTTCAACTGACTTTCCAGGGATTAAAAAAAGTAAAAAAGGTGAAAACTATGCCTTTTGCGAATATTGTTCAACTGATGTTAGTATTGCGAACGCAGGCGTTTCATCTATTAAACAACATTTTGAAAAAGAAGTTCACAAAAACAACGTGAAAATTAAAAAGTCTACTGTCGGAATATCAACATTTTTTCATAGTAATAATTTGCCCACATCTAGAAAAACTGCTGCAGCAGAAGGAGCATTTGCATATCATGTCGCTTTTCACTCGTTATCGTTTAAAGCTGCAGATTGTACAAATCGTTTTATTTCAACTGTTTTCGCTGAATCGGAAACTGGTCGGAAATTTTCATCTGCTCAAACAAAAACGCAGGCAATCATTTCAAGAATATTGGCTCCGAAATCAATTGAGAATCTTTTGTCTGAATTGGGCAGCGAGCCGTTTTCTATTGCAACCGACTCGTCAAATTTTAAAGAAATCAAAACATTCCCTATCATTATTCGGTATTTTTCGCATGAAGGATTGAAAGTTAAATTGTTAGAGTTTTCAAATTTGCCAGGAGAAACGTCAGAATTGATTTTCAAATATGTAATGACTGTACTTGACAGATTCAAATTGAGCCCTAATAATTTGGTAGCGTTCAGTGCTGACAATGTTAATGTAAACTTTGGTGGAGCAAAACAGAATGGTCAAAATAACGTTTTTGCCAAATTGAAAAATATTCAATCAAAACTGATTGCTGTAGCCTGTCCAGCTCACATTCTCCATAATGCAGCTAAAAAATCCTGTAAAAGGTTTTCACTTGACATTGAATCGTTGCTGTTCAAAATCTTAAGCTATTTCAATGGATCCACGCTGCGACATGAAAAATTTAAAGAATTTTGTGAATTTATGGAAATTCAATATGCTAAATTTCCAACTCATACTCGCACACGATGGTTAAGCCTTCTTCCATTGATTGAACGAATTTTACAGTTATGGGGTGGCTTAATATCACTAGTTCTATCAACGGATGTCATTCCAAAGGTTCTGGAAAATTTATTCTCTGATGATTCAAATGAAATCTACTTCTGGTTTCTACAGAGCTCATTGCAGCTGTTTTAGCAAACTTTGCTGATACTTGAAAAAAAAGACCTTGTGCTTCCTGAAATAATAGAATCTGTCGAAAATCTGTCACAAAAACTCACTGACAGGATGCAGAAAAATTTTTTTGGTGCTATGACTCAATCAAAGTTGCAATCATTAGAGGATTCTAATTTGGCTAATCGCATAGAAAAGGAGTTTTCAACATTTTATTCGACATCTGTTGATTACATTCAGAAGTGGTTCAGAATTACTGATTATCCGTCTTCTTCTAAGTGGTTAATGCTGAAATCTGTCGACACAATTTCGTATGAGGATATTCGAAAATCTGCAGAGTTTCTAATGCC